TTAATGAGTTAGTATAAAGTTGATCTTATTGTTCGACTAACGATTAATTTATGATTTATAAAAAAAAAAGTGTTTTCTTGTGTATCAAGCATTTCATGGTCCAACTGTTCTTTCATCAAATGTTAACCTTTAGAACCTGTGTACCATTACTCAGTAATGGCTGTGCATTCCTTTTTCTGGATCACAATTATTCCCACTTACATGTTTAGATGTATGAGGTTACTATACTGATTTGATATTTATATTTCAAAAGGTGTTTCCAGGAAATATAATATCCATAAAAATTCAACAGACATTATGTCAGAATGTCTATAGCTCTAAGTAATAACTGAAATATTTTAGATAAGTATTATATTGTAATTACTTAGATTTTTTTTTCTCTTTGTTCCGCTAGAGTGTAGATTTTTGCATTTAGAAAAATAAATATTAAGTAACACCAGTGGAGCCCCTGATACATATAGACATAGATACATAGATCAATTTATTATCCCTACATTGGCCTAAAATTAATCACAAGTTGAGCCCATTTTGAGGTGTGATATGACAGGATAATTTAAGCATCAGTCATGAGAGATGTGACCCTGCTTTAAAATCGATTCAATCCTTTAACTGTCTAGCAACAGATCCAAATAAATTAAAATACATTTAAAACTGCTAGATAAAAAAACAACAACACTTAAAGATATTTTATCAATTGATTAGGCTCTCAGAAGGACCTGAAGAGACTTGACGATTAACCATTAGTATGTTTGCCTCTTTTTGTTGGAAATAAAAGGGTTCTTATGGAATTCTTTGACATGTTCCTGTTTTTTTTTTTTCATTTGTGGACTTAATGCTTTTTCACACTGAATGTAAACAAAAGTTTTGAAAGCACATGAGCTATCAAACATGACAGCATAAGGAAAAAAAATGATTTCGTAGTAGTAAACCAATTATCTCAAATAAATGGAGCACCAGAGAGTTTAGCCTTGAGGAGTTTATTCCAGTAACATCGGTCTAGTCTGACATTGTCACCAGAATGCATAAAAAAAAAACTTCCTTTAAAAAAATACGTATTGGAATCCAGAGTGCTTTCACACAAAACTTTTACTTTGCTCTGGCCATGTTGTTTTTGTGTTTCCACTTTGAGGTCAAATACAGGACCATTGACGCAGAGAGACAATTCCTCCCACTGCAGCCAGTCAATCAAGGTCCCAATTTCTCCCACTCAGAGGCTGAGTGTGGGAGAGAAGCATCCATTGCATAATTAATAAAGCTAGGATTTTTAGCAATAAACTATGACACAGCTTCTGTGTTTTCTAACTTATATAGAGTCATGAGGTTTAAACACAAAGTTGCTGGAACACGATGGGAGAGTGTGAAAAAAAAAAACACTTTCTAAAAGCATCCCACATCCCCATCCAACGTAAAAAAAACGAAAAAAAAAAAAAAAAATGTTTCCATATAATCTGAGGACTGATGAGAGAAAAGCCAAACTTTTAGGAATAAGTTTGCCCTTTTATATCTTGTTTATTGACAGTCAACTGGTGTGTTTTAATGTTTAATGTCTTGATGATGTGCTGTAAATGAGACTGTAAATGCTGTTAAAAAAAGAAAATAAAACATCCTTCAAATTTTTGATGTTTACCTTCCAGGTTACCTGCATCAATCAGTGAAATGGGGTATTTTACTCAAACAAACACTAAACCCCAGCACGCCACTGCCTAAAACACATACTGTATTGTGGCCACAGTAGCAGCCGTTTGTCAAAAGGTCTCAACAAAACAGATGTAACCATATCATCCAAAGTCTCTACAACCTGGCATTTAATGTGACAAAAAGCCAGCGTTCACCACAGCTTTGAAACCCACATTAAAGTATAATCATGTACCTAAAAATGGTATATGTTTGCACGATCTACCACTGTCCTTTCTTGGTAACAAGCTAAATTTTCTAATTAAACTGAATGGGCAAAGTTAACTTTACTCTAATTAAGGCAGAACGGTTCACTTCCTTGTCAAGGAGAAACATGGTAACTTCACCGTCCCTTATTAAAATCTTTCTCCTTCATTAGCTCCTTCCACCTGGAAAAGGCTGGCCTAAAGTTTATTCTCTTTTTGTGATATCTCTGGTTTTGTTGTCTTTGAAGTTCTCCATTTCACTTTTTTTGAGGATGGTGAAACTGTTTCTTGTGCTGCTGCTGCATATGTATCGTCCTGCAAAGTGCTGCAGTAGTGCCACTATTGGGAAATATATTGTTAGTCTTCATTATTTTTTTTGTGCGTTAGTCCTATTTTATCCCTTGCCAGCGTCTGTACTTTCAAAATGGCAGACTGTCATGGTGCTTTGCAAACAGGTGCCCAGCCTTATGTTTTAACTAATATAACATTCTTTGCTTATTAAAATGTACCTGGTTATTAGTGGAGGTAATAAGTTATTTTATTCCATTTTCTTATTTTACATGGGAAGGGTGTAATTTTACGTATTTTATCCTGTCTTGTTATTAGTGTTGCACCGATGCCATGCTTTTGGCCCCGATACCTGGCTGTGCAGTATTGGCCGATGCCAATACCATCTGTTTGAAATTTTCTGCATCATTAATATATCTACCTAAACCAAACTGAATTGAATCACTTGTGAACTTAACTGTATATGTCTAATCCACTACTGATGAAGGCACCGTTTATCTTCATTAAATATCTGTCAGCAAACATGAACTTGAAAACTGAAAACTTGAAATGTGCAACTGTAAAAGGAAAAACAAAAAAACAACTTACAAACATACATGTCTGTGTTTAACATTTCTATTTCGGCCCATCCTATGATGGTGTGATGGTGATGATCTTATGAGGTGTGTATATCATGGCCAGATGGGAGAGCTGGATGTTCATTTTGTTAACAGTAAACGGTAGCGTCTCAGCTTCATTTTTGCTAAGTTGTTGATCAATTGTGACTGGCTTAATTTGGAGAGTTCTCCTCTATCAACTCCGCTGTGAGAGTGGAGCTGTGGAAGCAGACTATGAGGGCGGAGCTGTGGGAGTGGAAAATTAATTAATTAAAAAATCTGTGCCCTAGGCATAGCCAGGCACCGCAGATCCACAAAGGGGCACATGCCCTTGTGAAAAGGGTCTGCCAACGCTGATGGTGGACAATGACTCTCTGACTCAAAAGAAAAAGTAAATGATTATTTAAAGTGGCATATTCAAAGCCTGGGCCAAGGGGATGTGACCCTCAAGCCGGGCATACACTGTGCTATTTTTTCAATTGTTCCACGCAGCTACAGCTCAAATTGTACGACTCAACTCTGCAGTGAGATGGCGCTACTTGGACTCCTCTATCCGGAAGCCAAACCAGTAGAAGAGGAATATGAAGCTCACTAGAGTGAACCACTCTGCCTTGGCAATTTGTGCGATTTTGTGCTGAAAGCCCTAAGAAGAAAAGGCGGCAATGTATCTGGACAAAGACATGGCTGAGCAAACATGGCTACTACGGTCTGTCAATTTTACAGAAAGAACTCCATTTCATTCGCACCCCCGCCATGCCTCTGTGTTTACATCTGAGAGGACGAAGAAGAGTCCTTGTTTGCACACTGAGTGATTTGCCCACGACGGTCAACTGAAAACCATACGTCTGATTTTCTCCCTCCCTCACAATTCCTGATCAGGAGGTGGTCATGAGAGGCTGATTGTCCCTGTATATTACACAACCCATGACGCACAATCAGGCTGAAAGTCGAGCTAATCAAAAAATTGTTGCATGACTGGAAAGTCGGCCCGATAAGGGCAAAACATCGCACAGTGTATGCCCGGCTTAAACAGGCTGTTCAAACAGGAAACCCCTGCAACAGGGCTGTAATAAATCAAGTCCAAAGAAAATGGTGGATTAAACTACTTAATAGAAATTTAAAGCGCTGACTGCTGTTTTTAGAAATGCTTGATGGCAGTCGAGCTAATCATTGATGGCAAATTGAATTATTTGGTTTTTATAAGACCAAGTTGGTCCTGGTTATACAGCCTCTGATTGGTGCAACTCTTGTTCTGCTGTTAATTCTGGTTTAGATCAAAGTAAACCAGACTAATCTTCCTTTGCTGTTCTTAGCTTCAAACCTATCAAGCCAGTTTCCTTTGATATCTCTGTTTCAGGCCAAGGCTCAGAGATGTTTAGACCTACAGTATTAGAACCTGTTAGTGTTGACCTGGTGTTTCTGATGGATGTCTGCTCAAAATTCTTCAGGTCGGATTTCCTTTCATTTAAATGATGATGTTGATATCTAGCATATGTAGAACATCTTGGTTCATCCACCCAGCTGAATACTTCCAGCTGCAGAACTTGTTGCATTTCATTTAAAAGCTATGATTTTATTATTTAAATTGGCAAAAAAAAAAACTCATGACATTTGACTGTAAATGTGTAGAGTTCTGAGAAATCTAACCTTTTGTGACCCTTGATGAAACTTATAGATACAGCAGAATCTCACATGATTTCTTTAGTCAACATTTGTTTAATTAAGTGTAATAGTGATTTACTGTAGTTTAAGACGTGAATAAAAACTAAAAACAGTTAAGGTCTCTGTGAAGGTTGAAGGAAAATAAGGCCAAAAAGAAATTAAGCCAGTTACAAATAAAACTGTGTGGGTTTTATTGCAGCACTTGTTAAGCTGTTCCCTTGATTGCTTCAATTGATTTCTGGCGTAGAATTTGTGGTATCGGCAGCTATGATAAATCAATAGTTCTAGTCATCTGGAAGAACCTTCGTCTTATTAAGCTGAGGCGGAAGCTGCTTTCTATTGATACATTAAGACGCTTTTCTGTTTATTAATAGGAGGCTGCATGCATGCGCCTCCACATGCCTGGCTGTTTGTGTATTTTAGATTTTCCTTCATTAATTCGTGTTCAGTTTTAAATGGCATCTCTGTTACAGTTATTGTGTGATTGTTAAATATGTAAAAACCATTATGTTTATATAGAATATTTCAATAAACTAAAATCATCTATTTTATGCCTTATGTCTCATTCATCAAGGTCCCTAGAAAGGAAGCTGCAGAGACCCCTACTGGCGAAGTCTCGCACCCTCCCAAGCATCCCCCAGTCTCCAACTGTTTCCAGGGTCCACCACTCTGACTTGATTGGTGGGAGTCCTCCCCGCAGGAAAACACCTCCGTCTCCCACTGGCCAATCAAAGGCCTGCACTCTGCCTCCTGCAGGTAAACCGATAGAAGAATCTAAAACATACCGGCATCCATAATTATTGTAGGTTGAGCTTAAATACAAGTCACCGAGGTGAGTAAACATTAGATGATGTACATCTTCAACACAGATTACCTGACACCTGTTACATGAAAAGCCTGCCGCTTTTAATTAGATGAAACCGTTAATGTGGCAGCTTTTAAATATTAATGTTCATATGTAATGCAAACTGATCAGTAACCATCTTTTGGGAGTTGTCCACCTCTGACAACACATGTAGCAGCTTTGTGTTGGAATGCTAATGCTTGTACAGACAGCAGATGTACAGGCTGGCTTCAGCTCTTATTTTTACTTCTTTCTTCCTATTAAGCTGCTATCAATATTATAAGCATCTCTGTTTTGGCAATATTACAATATCCTCTAATGAGGAAATCCTCATAGAGATGGAAACTAATGGCTAATGGGGTTCAGATAAACATCACATTTTGCCCGATTTTGTAATGGAAGATTTATGATGTTGAAAACAAGCTATTACTAGTGTATTAGTGTATTCCTACACTATTAATAGTAAACCACACCTGCAGACTTTTATCCATCTGCTGCAGCAGTAATGTGCTTTAAAACCTGATATCTCCATCGTAAGTGCTGTGGAAACCATTAAAGGTTTACATTTGTTTTTTTTGTTGGTCTGATCCTGATTGGTTAGCGCATATCACACTATTTATTCAGTAAAACCATCTTGAACTTAGGGGCAAATGATGGTTTGCTTGTTTTTAACTGCTGATACAAAACTGTAAAGAGCATAAGAGCCCAAACGAAAATCTTCTCAGATATGTCAAAACATGACCCATTTATTTCACCTTTTTTCACCCACTTCTGTTCTGATTCTCTGACATTTGCTTCACATGACAGAGCACACAAAGCTTCAAGTTTTCTCAGAGGTGGCAGATGTAGGCTATCCTCCACCTCTCTCTCTGTGCTCCCGTCTTACTCTCTCCTGATTGTAAGTCAAATGGTGTTTCCTTACCTGAGAGAAAAAAATGTGTCATGGAGAATCCTGAAGCTGTAGCCTTTTGACAGAAAGTGCTTTCATTTGAAAGAAAAATCTGTCCTTGTTAAGAAAACACTGTTAAAATGTGCTTCTGAGGGTGTTAAATCAAGGACTGAAACACAAATGCACAGCAGACTCGTCAAGTGTGTCAATTATTCTTAGTTTAAACTCACAATTGGCTTAAGATCTATCATGCAAACTCTACAGTAGGTGGGATTACGTATAATATAAAGACCTTGAACATTTATCTTCTCACTTTTTTTGATTAATCTCATGTAAAGTTGGCATGACCTTGTTTGGAGATTAATTTCATTCTAGGCAGCCTTTGTTCAGACACTTCAAGGACATACAACTCAATTAACCTGACAGAGCTTTTTGTGATTGATTTTTTTTTCTAGGTTCTAAAAATATTACAGCCAATATTCAGTCTAGTTCTAAGCATTGCATGTTTTTTTTGTTTTGTTTAATGCGCTATCAGAAAGTCTATGGAGTGAAGGCATCTCTTTGCCTCTGTCAGCACCATCTGGCCTCTCGTTGGAACAATGACAGTATTATTTTATCAATAATCCAACTTTATTAGAAGAGCCTGAGCTTCATCCATCAATGCCCTAATCCAATAAACCCTTCCTGTCGCTGCGTCTAATGATCCCATACTGGACATTCTCCAGTTGGTTGATTTAGATCCAAGTACTGCTATTCCGTGAACATCTTAACTGGCTGTGTCTCTCTGCTGTTTCCCCCTTGTTCAACTGATGCAAATATCAAATTAAAGAACTCGGTCTCACGTGGAGCCTTGTTGCCTAGCAACTACTGTCATCGACCATGATGCGACCTCGCTCTTTCCCCTACGCTTTATCCCTGCAGAAGCAGGAAGACAACTACCCCCCCTTTTGCTCCTCACTTTAATAACCGAATCACACTTCATTCAAAGAGTTAAGCCTCAGCTGATATTAGTGAGGCCTCCGCAGTGGGAATAACTCACTAGTTGCTCTGTCACCTTCAGCTGTAGAAGCCAGGTGTGTCCTGGCAGCTATTTAGTGGAAATTACTGATATATTTTCCACTCTCAAGATGTTTTTGTGTTTGATCCAACTTAAAAAATTAAAACAGGAGAAATCTGTTTTATTATACTTTTTAGATTTTGAAGGGAAGTTTTTTGTTTTTAAATATTCTATGTTGATCTTTTTTTCCCCTTTCCTTTTAACCCTTTAAGTCTCTGTATTTCACGAATCTGGCGATATGACTAGATTGAAATGAACAGCTGTCTGTTCTTATTTCCATCTTAAGTCAAAAAGACATCAGCACCAAACAGTGAGCCAGCTGTTTGTTGTTGGCTGCAAATGTTGAGCATGAGTTGTCATGCATTACTAGTGTCTGATGGTACTGCAGTCTGTGAATTACTGTTGTTTTCTATGGAAATTATGCATTTTTTTTATCTGCGGCTTATTCGAATGAAGTGGGTCCATCTGGTTCCTTCTGTGCTCCTGTTTATCTGTGCCTTGCACATCTATTCATAGATGGACTTATTTACATATTGTTACATTTAAACCACAAACGGTTGTATTTTAGTGGGTTTCTGTGTGACAGACCAACACAAAGTAGCATATGTGTAAAAGAAATATGATTTGCATAAATCCTAATCTCTAATCTGCTTCCCGCTATTCAGTTATCTATAAAAGTAATGAAAAGCTGACCAGATTAGGTCCATCTTACGCAGATTGCTATCCTTGCACGCCACTCTTTACTCAAACTCCTTACAGCAGGCCTAATCAACCTCTTTAAGGCTGAAAGCTACTTCATGGGTACTGTGTTATACGAAGGGCTACCAATACTGACCTATGAACTGGAGGGATCAGCGTACTTCTAAAATTAATTCATAATAGATACATTTTTATTTTTCCTTTTAACTTCTAATTTTCTTTGAGATATTTTATTTTCAAATCTCTATAAATGTATAAAGTATTAATGCTTAAATACTTTATATGATGAAATGCATGATTAATGATTAAAAAAAGAGATACAGACTGTCATGTTCGGCTGAATGTATTTAGCCCACATGCAGAACACACACGGCAACAGGGATCAGTTAACTGTTTATTGAGAGAGAGAAAATGGAAACAACGGAGTCGACGGGGAAGCAACAGCACCGCGAACCGTTCGACTTCTGAAAGGAGAAGTTGGTTATTAGCCGGAAAGGGCGATCAGGCAAAAATGAACAGAGGAACGTGAGCTTACCACCGGACGCAGCAACCTAACCGGGGGAGGACGGAGCGGACTCAGGCTCTGATCGATGGAGCTGGTGGCGGGTGTCTCAGTGACAGGTGGGGCTCAGGCTTGATGGTGACAGAGCTATGCTTACCTTACAATGATCCGGGGCAGCAGGAGAAACCAGAGTGGCTCGAAGCACCTTGCTTGGAGCCGGGAGAAAGGGAGGACCCTGTGGGAACTCAGAACCTGGAGTCAGCACGAGTGGGACCCTCTGGAAGGCGATCGTGAGGTAACCTGGGGAACACAGAGGTTTGGATTAACGAGGGAAGTCAGTACTCAGTTGAGAGACTGTGGCCTTAGGCGTACACTAGGGTTAACACTCTGGCGTCTGGATGCTGCTCTTATAGTGCAATCAGACGCAGCTCAACCAGCCGCAGGTGCTTGCGCCCTGCCCACCTGTCAACTGCAAACACCTGCAGAGAAAGCAGAAAGAAGCAGAACCGGCAGAAACTGCACGGCCCTGTCGGCTGAGTCCTGACAGACTTTGCCCGATGTCAAATTATTTTGTTTTCAGATGAAACTGAGGCACTTGATGTGGTCCTTGAGGGGCCCTTGGTACCCACTGGCACCGTGGTAGTGACCAAACCTAAATCAAACTAAGACACAGGAGTGGCACAGACCACAGTCTCAAGGGTGACACAGGGGTGACTGTGCTGGTCTACTGCACGGATCCCGATGAAATACACTAAAGTTTATAGTTCTAGAACAATGTGAAATTATTATATGTCACAAATGATCCAGAAAGGCAAGACTATAGTAAAATGGGTATCTAATGTGGGAAAACCACTACAGAATGAAGATAAAATTTGTGGTTAATGTTAGGTTCAAAAATGTAGGTTTGTAAAAGAGGAACCGAGTCCACACAGGAAAGAGATTCTCAACAGCTCCTGCAGGAGGTGAAAGAGCCAAACCCAACTTTCCAACTCTCTCTCGGACCCCCCTCCTGCAGTCCCCTTTTATTAACAGAACATAACACATGGTTACAAAACAGAGTATTCTTCTGACAAAACAATTGATCAGGTGATAAGACAGAATGCTGCACTGATTGAATCATAAGACAGATTGAAGCATTTCATTTCTTTAATGTTTCATATATACATACATTAATTTTATAATCATCATTGAATAAACCTAACAGTTAGGAAAATTAGATTTTTTTTCCATTATCAAGAATATAAAATATTAAAATTGAGATTAAATGTAATTTTTAATAATGCATAATGCTATGATTAAAAACCATGGGGATTTAAAACTGAACATTGAGGCCGACTGTTAAAAAAGATGATTCCACGTGGCTGATAAGGTACTGAAATACCTTCTCCCTTTTGCAGCAATAAATGTGTCAGTCTGATTTTTTAACTTTAAAGATGCTCAAAATAAAACATAGAGCACCTCCACAAGAGGACAATAGCATTCGTATGATACTGACAGACATTAAGCCCCGCCCTTCTTCTAGACGGACACTTGAGGGGTTCTTTGTCTTTGTTCTGTTTTTTCATCAACAGTTTGTTTAAATATTTGCTATTCAGTTGGAATATAATATCATTTTAAAAAAGGTTAGTATAATTATCCTAAAAATTTTAATAATTTAACTAGAATAAAATAAGCAAAACATTAAGAAAGTAGATTTTTATTTATTTATTGTTTTTTAAATGTTTTGTAGTGTTGTCTGTTAGTTTGCAAAGGAGGGGGTATAGTACATACGCAGAGAGGGAGATAAAATATCCTACAATTAAAGTCACTAATCTTCGAAACTACTAACAGTTGAATCCTTAAATTCAGATTTTATACCTAAATGTAATCCGTATTTAAGTAGTTGGGATGCTCTCTCAGAAAAACTATTCTCCTACATATTCAATCACATGTAGCTTCTTCTGAGGCTCGTTTCTGAGGCTCTCTGAGGAGGGTTCATACTGACAGCAGAGCAGGCAGCAACCGCAGGATGTCACTTGGATTGATGCCTACACACCGTAGCTCTGTTGGCGTCTTGCTGTAGAGAGACTTTGAGGAAAACATCTGAAGTCTGATAAAAAAACATCACTTAGGGATGATAGAAAAATATATACTTCACTGCATGTGGTCAAAGGCTATCCAAGATGTGCTTGTTATCATTGTATCCGAGGAGCATTATTCACTTACCAGAATAATACTCTCACACACACAAATATGTAGGCTTAGTTTTGGATGGAAAAACACTCCACAGTCTCATTTTTATCTTGGCTTTGAAGAAAAGGCTTCTCTGTGGGTTTTCTCCAGGTATTTCCCACAACTAAAGAGATGCAACCTATAGAGTGGAAGGGATTGTAAAGTGACCATTGTTTTGGTGCATCATTTAAAGCATTAAACGCGTAACAATTGACGTCCAGAACATTGGCTATTGTTAGACTAAAATCTTTTTTTAAATAACCAAAAAAAAAAACCCTAACAAATCAAGCATTTGGAGACCAAAGAAGCATCTGACCAGCAGAGCAGTTGGCTGAAACCACTAAGTGGGTTTTTATGCTATGAAACACAGAGTGTTTTATGTCCTATGAATGAAAGGAGGTAAGGTTATAGCTGGTCAACCAGTCAGGTTGGAAATTACAAATATGGTTTAGGGGAGATTATTCTGTAAACATAAAAAAAAATACCTGTGATTCCAATCAGCATTGTTAGTTAGAAAATTCATATGTGATGCAATGATTCTGTGGAACTATCATAGTTTGGATCCTGTTTACTTTTCTTCGGATGATGACACTATAAATCTTTGCTTTATTCAAGTTATTTAGTAAAACAACCTTTGATCATTAATTTACAAGATATTTATCTATTTTGAATCCAACTCAAACTGCATCAGATAACCTAGAAGTAGATTCTGATTTCTGCTATGTTGATCCCTGAAATGAGAGAGAAGGAAAAATCTGTTTGTTTTTCTACTTCCGGATATCTAGGTCACTGAGGATAGCCGAGGAAGAGAAAAAAGCAACAGTGAAAAAAGACTCAAATCAATCCTTAAAGTTGAAGTTTTGAGCTACAGTCTGCTGAGGGAATATTTTGAATAAAAAAATGATTATGTGATATTTAGATTCAATGCAGTATATTATGAAACAGGAAACACAACTTGGCTTAAAACCAACCTTAACTATTCAAATCACCCTCCAAAAACCAACTCCATGGTTAAACAGATCGGTGGAAGTAGACTTGCACCAGTCCCTCAGTATTGCTCAGTAATCGCATAATTTTCACGTGATTGGCTATGATCACAGTGAGCCAGTCATTATGAAAACCACAGATTTTAAGCTCTGGTCATAGTGTTGTTGCTCAGTTTTTTTTCTGAGCGGACATGCATCTTTCTTCTACGCTTAGTCCATTTTTGTTTTGGTCAGAATGCCGAAAACTGCGGGCTGAATCACCCGGAAAACAGAGGGAAGGGGAGACATTCCTCTTAAGAACATTCCCAGGTCATGCTGTGTCGACTTTATTTTTCCTATCTTTTATTTTGATTTAAAAAAAAAACTTGAGTCCGCTTTAGAGAGGACAGAGAAGCTTGACAGAATTGATTTGAAGAGAGATTGAAATAAAAACTGGAGAATCTTGTAAAAGAAAAAAGAAAAAAAAATTATCCCGTTTAACACTGTGGAGGATTTGAGTCTAGAAATGCAAATTGGCTCCAATATTTACTAATTAGCTGTTTCGGGTATTCATGATCGATTACGGATATCAGAGATCCAGTCCAGCGCACTTTACATTCGAGGCCTATTCCCATAGACTATTACTTTGGCTTTCTGAGCAAGACATAACATTTTTCATTTCTTTGTCATAATATGATCACAGCTAGCCATTTTTCAGCATTGAATATATTGAAAACTGAACGGATCAAGTTCAATGCTGATTTAGAAAAATAAGTAAATACAAGAGATTAGCACTTAATTAGTCCTAATGACACTAAAAACAATGAAACATGCCAGAAATGTAAGGTTTTGAGCTTTGATCAAAATTTAAAAACTAACAAAAAGTATTATTTTTATTATATAAACCTGCATTTATTTTGATAGCTTTGTCAAATTAAAGGGTTTTAAGTTAAGCTCAAGCATTTTCATTAAAAAGATAAAAAAACGGGGGAGTGGCAGCCTAGTGGTTGAGGCATGGAGCTTGAAATCCTGAGGTTGTGGGTTCGAGCCCCACTCACACAGTCTGCCACTTTGGGTCCCTGAGCAAGACCCTTAACCCCTGGGCACCCCACTGCTCCTCAAGGGGATGGGTTAAATGCAGAGGTAAACTTCTTCAATATGAGATATATGAAGTTTAATTATTTTTATTATATCAAGGCTAAAGTCTTCACATACATGGCAAGATTGTTCATTCATTCAGCAGTTGAATTGGATCGGTTTCGGATTTCGGCTCAGCCTAGGTATCAGATTGGATCGGGGGGAAAAATAGATCGGTGCAGCTCTACTTGAATCAGAGGCTGAAATTCACCTTCTTACAGGACAGCGGCCCCAAATAGCCAGATCTACAATCTAGAGGTTAAAAAACAGGTTTTTCAACACCGGTCAAGAGCAATGTTTCCTCCATATCTTAGCTTCAGATTTTAATAGCTAAATTAACTCCTCAAAGCCTGTTAATGATACGTTTTGTGACAGAGGTCCCCCTCCCACCAGGATAAAAGCACTGACTGCACAGCAATAGTTAAATTAGATTGCTTTAGATTAATGCATATGTTTTAGAATGGCAGTCAAAGGGCAGACCTAAAACCAAATGAGAATTTGTGGCAGAACTTTAAAACCATTGTTTACATAAAAACTCCCTTTAGTCTAATTGGGCTTGACTTCTTTTGCAAAATGATTAGTGTAAAAGGATTTTTGGTTTTGCCCAATTCATTAACTGGAAGCATCTGAAAGGTATTGTGGGTCTCTGTAATGAAAAGATGTCTCAGTTTATTGCAACATCAATAGAGACGTTTTATGATGCCTACCTTACACACAGTTAGTCAACTTTTACTAACTAGACAGGTTTTATTAGTAGCGAGGTTTGTTAATGAGGGTTCTTGGACTCTGACAAGATTTTTGACAAGAATCTGGAGCTACGTGAGTCGAATGTAACTGGTGCAGCCAAGCTAGGTTCTGACAGCACAGATCTGTCTTTATTGTTTATCGCTAAGAGAAAAATGTGATAGTGCCTGCAGAACTATTCATTCTCCATTGATGTAAACGAGCCATCATTTCTGTCCAGCAGCTCCAGTTGTAATCAGGTTTTTAAGCAGTCTGGCAAAGAAATTTAAAGTTATAATGTAACTAAGCTTAAAAGGACACTAAATGACATTCTGGGAACCTTTTATGGAGGCCGTCATTGGATGACCGTTTCTGATAATTGCGTTGTCCAGGGTCCTTACCTCTCATATATTTTTTCTTTTTGCCTGCACCCCTCCTCTCTCCTAGGAGAGCTGTGGCGTTTGGAGGACGACATGGAAGGAGATGATGAGACTGAGCAGAGTGGCCGCACCGAGGCCCGTCCTCGGTCCCAGTCTCCCTTCTCCCACTTCAGGGCACGAGCTGCCTACCTCCGGAAGAGCATGTCGGCTGATGACCACCTGGACATGGGCCTGGACTACAGCTCAGGGAGAACAGCTGAGGGCAAGTCAAGTCGCAGCAATAAGGGGAAGCTGAAGAGAAAATTTGTAAGTGGAAACTTTTACATGTTTTCTGAGTTTTGCAAGGAAGTAGATCTCTAAAGCGATGGACATTTTTTGATGCAATTTCTAAAAAACAAACACTAAAAAAAAACATGTCCATCCTAAAGAATTGAGCAGCTCTTTGAGTTCATTCAAAGTAGCATTTGCTCCATCTGCATGTCGTGCATCCCTGATTTTAAAACTTAAAACTGCATTTAGTAACAGGATAAAAAAAAACAGTATAAAAAAACGAAAAAAATCTCATCTGTTTCTAATCCACAAACAAAAATAGCATCCCTTATGACTCTCTGGTCAGCATGACAGCAACTTCTTTTGTTACTGACTGTCCAAGATGCAAATATAGCTATTTCCAGTCAGTATTAGAGAGGAATAAAATGAAAATAAAGTCTGTAGAAAGAATGGTTAAAAAGGTATTTGAAGATAAATGTTTTCTGTCACACATCGAGATATATCTGATGTTCAAATATAAAAAATGTCTATACTCTGAAAAGTATCAAAAAATAATCCGTTTCCAGATACATTACTAATTTGGCATCGATAAGAAATGCACCGGTCAGGATTTTTGAAGCAGATCACTGATGACAAAAAATGTCAAGGGCTGGTCCAAAAGAACTAAAGCCTAGTGTTAGGATAATTATCATTGAAGTTGTGTGAGGTTATTACACCTAGGTATTGGCAGCCTGTTGTGTGTCTGAACTGATTTGGACAGTTCCTCTGTCTAGATATACAGTTATAATCTTCATTTTGTACGTGGCAAAGATTTGGAAATGGAATGAGAGCGGTGTCCTTCAGCTAAGAACAAGGTGTAATATTTTGATACGGCTGGAGCCATGGATGCCTAATGATCTGCTAAGGTGATGTATAAAATGCCTCTTTAACTGTTAATCGGGCCACTTTCTGAGACGTGAGCCCGAAGGTGAGCAGATGCCTTCTGTAAATTCTAAACAATTTCTCTGATATGAGTAAGATTACAATTTCTATCAGAATCTGTTGTAATGTCTCCTGGTTATTTAATACATATAAGTTATGAAGTGTTATTTAAAGAGTTTGTCGCAAGTGATCTCTTTTCAGGGAAAAGAACCAGAAAGATAGATCGTCATGGTGCATACACAGAGCCCATCTTTAGCACTAGTTAGACTAAATGGAGAGTTTCTTTAATGACAGGTCAGTCAATCACAGGAAAATCGGCTGATTGACTAGTGCAAATCTGTTATCGATTGTGTTATTTACATATTTTTTCTATTGTTATTTTTAGATTTCTAGATTATTTGCACATTTTAACCATAACACCTTAAACAACCTTTAAAATATTGTGAAGTTGTGATATTTTTGGGGGTGTTTATTTAGCATTTATTTGTACATTTATTTATAAATAATAACTGTAATTCTGTTAGAAAAGGTGGTTCCATGTTGAGATTGGAAACAGTGAGTTTTTCATGTTAAAAAATATATTTTATGCCTGTGATTGTTTGGGATTACTATCCTCCATGGTATGGAAAATAAATCCCTGGATGTTGATATCGAGTTTGGAATTGTAGTGAAGTGAAAACACTATTCTGCTAGAGAGCGAGACGCTCAGCAGATACCAGGAAGACAGAACAGTATACAGCACTACATAATGCGCCTTTTTTTTCTTTTAAGCTTTTGACCTAATCTTTCATGTTACATATTGGATTTATAAACTTTTTGCAACCTTTTAGAAATTCTTGTTAAGTAGAAGTTCTGGTTATTTAAGTCTGCAGCATACCGCAAAATAACAAAATAAATCTAAGTTGTATAATTCTGATGCTTTCTAAGGTGAAATAAAGGGAGCTTATACGTTAAGGTAATAGCTTTTTCTACACTGCAGGTCAAGTGCTGCAGCTGTGAAGACGGACTCTTTCCCTTTAAGGAGGCGTAGTAGTTAAATAAAAAATAGCAATGTTGGATGCTAGAACAGGAAATCTATATCTACTTTATATAAATTATCTCTCTCTGCTCCTAAAATAAGAAAAACTTTAGAATTTGAAATGTAATTTCTCCTGTTATTGTTTATATTTATTTTTCAGTTATATTTTAATTATAAAATGACCAATAGTTTGATTTAGTAATTGAAAAAACTATTTTGTTTTACAAAACACGGCAATATGCTGAGATTTCAGAAAGCTAACAGGAAGTAAACAGAACAATTGAAGATTAAAAAGTCTAATTTTTTTGGGCAACATTGAATTTTAAGCAGAAAAATTGTATTTTAAGCAGCTCGAAAACTTAAGAGGAGACCTACTTTAAAGGACCTGGAGGGTGAAAAAACATTATAATTAAATGTATGCAGCCTATTCACATTTTTTTTTTGTTATTTGCCTTAACACATTTTATTTTAGTTCAAAATGTAAAAACGCAGGATTATTGGTGTTTTTATCCCAGGCTCTTTGACTCTAATCTCACCAGTAAAGTATAATGGCCACCCTTATTAATGAAATGAATCTTAAATGGCTGTACTGTATATTACTTTGTGCCTTCTGGGTGTGATTGCTTTTAGCATTTGCAGGAATCCTGATGAACAGGCATTAAACATTAAAGACCTTTTTATTGTCCTGTGGTCATTTAATCAGGAAACGTTAGACCCCATTACCAGCCCAAACTTTGTAATTGACTCTTCAAGGCAGAAGTGCAACAGGACACCTGCGTAGGTAGGAGACAGCTGGGAGGTTACATTTGAAGCAGTTCATTTTTCCTCAGATGCTGAAGTTTGATGGACGTAAATATGGCTGCAAGGAGGATTTTACTCTGATGACTGAACTTTTTTTCATCCTAATTTTCTTTTAATCTTGAACAAAGATCCATAAATTAAAAGCCATCTGGATTTACGTGTCTGTGCACAAAAGTCTGTTTAGTAGCCAAACGAAATGGGAACAGCTCTGGATGTGATGTCCTGCCGCCTATGTTTTGGGGTGAGAGCTCATCCATTCTTCTCTTAAAGTATCTGGCAGCATTAGAGGCACTCAGAGATACCTCATTAAAACATAATTCCTGCTTTTAATATAGCAATATGGCATTACATTAATTGGTTTATTCTATTACACAGGATAATGTATCAGGTGAATGCTTTTATTCATGAAGCTTTTTTGTACTCCAGCATGAAAAATAGCACATATCTGCACCACTTGGGGAAAAATGGCATAGAGAAAAGCATTATAAAAGAGCCGCAGGAAAGCAAGTTCTATAAGGCTATAATTTGTTTCTGTTTCCCACTCTTATAACCACTCTGCATACATTCCTTTCAATAAAACTGTAAGAAATGTCCCTTTCAAAAAATCCAGACAGAACTGTTAGCCGGACCATCTTTCATCTACACTTTCTGTCTTTTACAACCCTGAATTTTCTGTTACTTTAGTAAAAAGTCAAAGCATTGCTTTTTTTTTACTTGCTATGAATGTAACAGTATGTCAGGATCTTGGGTTTGTAATCTTTTTGCTCCACTGGCCTCATGAAAACTGCAGCTTTGCCTGACAGCATAGTTTATTGTCTGTCTATTGTTTTACTGCAGAGGTTTTACTGTGACACGGCGGAGCAGTGGTGACTTAATATGTGATCAGAGAAACGGAGCAGCCTGCCCTCATGGACTGAAGTGTCTCTGTGCTAAATCATGCTCTTGTAAAATACTAGCAAAAGTAGTTAAAGAAAGTTGCAGCACATTTAGTGATGCCTGGGAAGATTTTGTAAGAATAAATTTTTTATAGCAGTAGAAGACTCTTAAGATGTTATTTAAAAATTCAGAATAAAATATTTTGCCATAAATTTCGAGTAGCTGACTTACTGCTGTGCTTAAGAATTGTATCAGGTCATGTTTTTTTTTTTTTTTTTTTTTTTTTTTTTTTTTTTTTTGCCAAACCAGGTTTAAAAGATCCATACATAGTTAGATTGAAATACCTGTGAGATTTGAACCATTTTCCCCTTGTTTGTAAGGGTTTTGGAAGCAACTTTTTTTTTTCTTTCATTGAGCTAAAGCTCCCTGATTGTTTTTTTTTTATGATTGAATTTTAACAGAAACCAGTAAAGTTCTTTTATAAACTATTGCATTTCTCTTACTGTACCTAATGAAAATGCTTAAGTTTAACTTGGTGCTTGGGTGATTTAAAACCCTTTAATCTGACAAAATTCTCAAAATAATTGCAGGTTCATATATATAAAAAAAAATATTGGTTATTTTTTAAATTTTAATCCAAGTTCATAACCTTAAATTTCTGGCATGTTTCATAGTTTTAAGCCTCATTAGATCTAATTAAAGGCTAAAATCTTGTATTTCTGGGACCACAAACACCAACTAAACTTTTAAGATCTACATTAAACTTGATCCATTCATTTTAAAATATAATCAATGCTGACTAAATGGCTAATTGTGGTCATATTATGACAAAGAAATAAAACATTTTATGTCATTAGCTGCTGTTTGGAATAATGGACAAGGATTTTAAAGCAAAACATGACGAAAACTTAACAAGCTGCACTGAAATGTGCCAAAGACAGAATATATAGCTGGATCTCAGCCAAGGGTAGTTTATTTAGCAGCTGCTTTGACTGATAATAGAAACAAAAAACTGAACAGACACAAAAATACAGAGATTTTTTATTTTGCTGGGATTTCTTATGATGTTTGAATAACCAGAGGCAATTTAGAGAGGAGCCTAACTTTTTCGATTTATAACAGGGTTTTGATTAATTTATTCTCTTCACGTTCTGCTGTCATTCAGCTTTTAAATACGACCCTGGCCCAAACCTCCTGTTTCAAATGATAAAACTGAGCCCTGTTGTGAGTGGGCAAAAACCTAATGGAAAGCATTAGCGATGATGTACTTTATCCTGGAGGAGATTGTTTATTTATGTGTTGATCAGTGTCTTGCAGTTAAGTAATCCCCGACTTTCTGTTATAATAAAGCAACAAATATGAAATGATGTTGAAGCCGATTTGTGTTTGCTGCTTATTAAGAGAAGTAAAAATGTAAAAC